CACACACACACACACACACACACACACACACACACACACACACACACTTTAAAGAATTCCACCAAAAGATAGGAAGAGGCAGGTGGATTTCTGTGAGTTTGAGTCCAGCCTGGTCTGTAGAGTGAATCCTAGGACAGCCAAGGCTACAAAGAGAAATCCTGTCTAAAAAAACAAAAAACAAGAAAAAACAAAACAAAACAAAAAAAGGAAAGAAAAAGAAAAGAATCATTATAGTATTTAAAGGGGAACAAAAATAAACAACATACGGAATTTTTTAGAATAGAAAATAAACACTTGAATAGTCAGTCAAAGGCAAAAGATAAAGTTTTAGCAGCAAGATCATCAATCTTCTCTAGAAAGTTTGGTAGCTACAAGAATGAATGGTAAAACAGCCGCTAACCAGGCCTTATATCAAATGGCACTAAAAGGAACTCGCTTATATGGTTAGCAGTCTTAGTATGGGTAATGTGCAAATTCCTACTACATTCACTTAAGTACTGAAATTGTTGCTGATAACTTTGTTTCTATGGAGAGTTTTCTAACCTATTCTCCATGTTCATGTTTAAATTATACCCTGTATGTAAATGTGAATTCTGCTAGTTCAGTTGACTTATTACAAAGAAAAGGTTGAAAAAGTAATGATGACAGGTTTTATTTCACCATTCTTTTAAATTAACTCAGAAAGTCACTTAATTGCCATATAATCAATTTAAAAATAGGTGCTTTGTCAACACAATAGAAAACTTTAATCTATATGATGATTTAAAAGTGGGAACCAGAGCTGTCTCAGCATTTAAGAGAACTTGCTGCTCTTCCAGAGAACCCGAGTTCGATTCCCAGGACCCACGTGGGGAGTGGGCTCACAAGCTTTTCTAACTCCAGTTCAGATCTGATGCCCTCTACTGGCCTCCATGGGCTCCCAGTACAAAAGTGGTGCACAGACATCCCGAGCACATATAAAGTACATAAAAATTAAAAAAAAAAAATTAAGTGTGCATTATCATTTTATTGGAAAGTTTAAACTAGAATATAGCAAAAGGAATTTCAATCCAAAAGGACTTTTTTCTTTTAAACTTTGAAATGGTCTACAGGTCTCAAAATTAAAATTGTTCTGTCTCAGCCCTTCTACAAGTAAACCCTTTACTGTATCTGATAAAGTGGCTATGAAGTCCAGATTATATGTATTGTTCCTTAACTACTGATAAAAATTAAGTTTACTTTGACTTTTTAATTGTTACACATGTGGATCAGGTAATTTTTACTAGCTGCAAGTTATGAGAGAATAACTATAGATAATGCTACAATAACCCTGTTTTAGAATGGATTTTGAATTTACATGCAGGCAACTAACATTTTTGGCAACTTATATTAGTATGTATGTATATACACACACACACACACACACACACACACACACACACACACCCCAGGTGGTGGTGGCACATGCCTTTAATTCCAGCACTAGGGAGGCAGAGGCAGGCGGATCTCTATGAGGCCAGTGTGCTCTACAAGAGTTAGTTCCAAAGGTACACCGAAAACCCTGTCTTGAAAAACCAAACCAAGGGGGCTGGAGAGATGGCTCAGTGGTTAACAGCATTGCTTGCTCTTCCAAAGGTCTTGAGTTCAATTCCCAGCAACCATATGGTGGCTCACAACCATCTGTAATAAGATCTGGTGCCCTCTCTGGCCTGCAGGCACACGTGTAGGCAGATATTGAATGCATAATAAATGAATAAATATTTAAAAAAAAAAAGAAAAACCAAACCAAACCAAAACAAAAACCCAAAAAACTTTAAACAATCTTACAATCTTGAGCATATTAATTTTATTATTGTTTGGCTTTGTTTTGAGATAGTAATCTTAAATTGGTCTTGAATTCATTCTGCAGAGCACAAACTAGCCTTGAATTCATAGCAGTCTCCTGCTTCAGTCCCCTAAAATACTGGGATTACAGGCATAAGCTCCCATGCCTTGCTTGAATATACTTTTGATACCATTAGTAGTCAGCACCTACATCTCTTAAAAAAAATTAACATAATTTGTAGCATTCATTGTGCCCACAACTTTAAACAATTTAAACTATAACTCTTTCACTAAGGAAGATGGAAAAGCATATCACTGCTATTTTTCCTTTTTATTGTCAGAAACACACATTTCCACCGCCACCTGACATTTCTTGCCATGCTTTTAATTAAAACTGAGCGTTATTTTCAATATTCCAGGTTAATTTTTAAATGGCAATACCCTAACAAGAGAAAAATTGTGTTACTTTTCCCCCATTACTTCTATATACATATATGTACACAATGTGTGTATGTATGTATGAATGTATCTCTACACACACACACACACACACACACACACACACACACACACGCACCTTTTTTTTTTTTTTTGAGACAGGGTTCCACTAAGCCTTGGCTGTCCCAGAACTCACTATGTAGATTAGGCTAGTCTCAAACTCAGAGATCCACCTGCCTCTGCCTCCCCAGTGCTAGGACTTCCACAATGCCTGCCTAGAAAAATGTTCTTTTGAGTTGAGTCATTTACCAGCAAGATTTTTTCCACTTCATGTGTATCTGCTTGTGATAGTTAATCAAGACATTAATATCAGTAGAAGATTGTTCACTTAAGTTTGAGATTCACAAAAAATAACTTCATTTGTTCTTCTGCGAGAGTTCTTTAAATACCAAATACAAATAACACATAGGAAATAAACTACTAGCAATGAAATCTCTTCAATGAGACATCATAATATTTTTAAATTGGAGAGAATATTTTCTTTGTCAGTCAGCAAAGTTTTTTAATTTCTTAGCTGGAATTCAAATATCCCAAGTTCTAATTATCTATAATATCTATTCTATGTGGTAGCAGATTATAATCATAAAAGGCCACTACAATCTAATCCTTCGCTTGGAACTGTGTCCTTCAAAATAGTCTTCACGTCCTCCTGCTTGTTGTCCAGAGGAAAAGAGGACTTATGGATCCTATTTTAAAAATTAAAATCACATTTGACCATGAAGATCTTGTAAAGACCTTGTCACTGCTACTTCAGGCGCTGGGTTTTATTATTTGTTAGCTAAGAATTTTCAAGTAAATCAATCCTAATTAATAAGGACTATAATCTTAAGAGCACAGGACTTTGTTTGACACAAGGTCTCTCAATGTAGTCCCAGCTGTCCTGAAACTCATAATGTAGACAAGGTTGTCCTTGAAAACACAGGGATCCACCTGCCTCTGCCTCCAGAGAACCAGGATTAAAGGCGAGTGACACCATACCCCGATGATGAGTGGTTTTGTTTTCTTTTTTTTTAAATATTTATTTATTTTATTATGTATACAATATTCTGTCTGTGTGTGTGCGCCTGCAGACCAGAAGAGGGCACCAGACCCCATTACAGATGGTTGTGAGCCACCATATGGTTGCTGGGAATTGAACTCAGGACCTTTGGAAGAGCAGGCAATGCTTTTAACCTCTGCCATCTCTCCAGCCCCGGTTTTGTTTTCTTGAGACAAGATTATCACTAACTAGCCTTGGTTGGCCTGGAACTCAATATGTAGAACTGATTTATCTGCCATACCAGGCTTGAGTATAGTACTTTTTTAAAGGACATGACAATGGTCTTCCAATAAAATGTTAATATAAATCTTATAAGGAAGTAATTATGTTAAATTATAGGCACTCGTGCCTTGGTCTCTAAAGAAAACTAAAGATACAAGGAGTAACATTTAAAAATATCTAACCAAGAATAATAAAAATGTGAAGAGAAGCAGGAAAAGTCAAATGATATTTTGAGATAATCAGTTATGTAGCTTTCCCTCCCCTTATGTGTTTAGTGCTTTTCAGTCAGTCACTGACTAGAGTGAATGGAGTCTCCACCAACCTCCTTAGTGATGTGTAAGGGGATACATGTTTCTACAATACAGATTTAATAAGAAAGTACTGAGATAATTATATGATTTAAAGCTGACTATCAAGTACCAATACTTAGTTTGTCTCCTTGTTCCCTCTTCTAATATTAGTGGATATTAATCTCCACTAAGAGGAAATCCAGTTCAAACAATAAGTACAGTGTTATACACGGAACCTATTATGGTGTTCTACAAAAACAGAAATAGAATAAAAATTTTATCTACTATTCCAGTTCTTCAAATAACTTAAAAGAACATTTACATAAATGTTTAGGTATGGTTTGTACGTGCCTACCATCTCAGCACTCTAGAAGGCAGGAGGATTGTCTTTAAAAACAACAACAACAACAAAATACTCAAAACTCCATGCTGGTCACAAGCTCTAAACAGAGAGCAAATACTGCTATTTTACTAACTGGACATGTTGAGGATGGTCAAATTGCCCTCTAAATATTTATGGTGAGAGACTAGAGAGATAGCTCAGTGGTGAAATGGGGTACCTGCTCTTTCAGAGGAGCAGAGTTCTCTTCCTAGCACTCCAGTTCCAGGAGGTGACAGCCTCTTCTGGCTTCCAGGGGCACTTACACATACAGTATGCCCATTAAAAAAAAAAAACCCCAAAAACCAAAAAACTATATTTCTGTCGACAGATTAGTGTTGTTCTGCCAGCTCTTGTCAGAGAAGCTTCATTTTGCTATGGTTGGTGGTACGTCAAAGTGCTGAGAATAAATGACTGTTGACTGTTCAGCCCTAAATGACATCTGTACCACCCTTCACCCAAGTCCAAGGCCCAGGGAATATCACAAAAGAAGGGGTAAAAAGAATGTAAGAGTTGGAGGAAGGGGCAGAGTCTTATGGAATGCTGTCTTCCGGGGCATGACAAGACCATCACACTCATGAACTCAGAGCAGCTGTGCTTACCTGCATAAGTCCTACACATGATTGAGTTGTCAACATTCCCTCACGGAAGGGGGAGGGGCGGTTAACAGTTGCTTGGGGGTAGGGCCTCATAAGGCCCCATCCACTTCTGAGGATCTAGAGGCAGTTAATGGTTGCTGGGGGAGGGAGAGACATTTTCTTTTGGTGTAATTACTGGTAAGTTACCCATACTCCTATAAATAACCTCGTCTAAGCTCCTGTAATAATTTTAACTAAACTCACTGGGTCACAGAAAAAAACAACAAAATTCATAGAAACTGAAGAGGGACTACCCGGGAAGAGAAAGAAAATTAGTAAAAAGTGGGAGGGAGACAAAAGAGGGTAATGAAAGGAGGGGTAAACATGATCAGATCAAATTTATATATGTGTGAAAGTGTCACATTAAACTCATTATTAAGTACAATGTATGCTAATAAAAATATCAGATAAGAAAGTTTCAAAAAGCCACATGCTTAACATTGACTTGAGTTTATTTTCTGTGTTCAGTATTAATGCAAATAACCAAAGTATATTAGGTTATATAATATACAATACTATGGATATGAAAATAAAGTTCTATTCATTTAATATCTGACAAGAAGTGAAGAGCAGCCTCCATTTCTGCTTTGACACTCTGCTCAAGCAAGCAAGACCAAGCAATTAAGAATTGAACACTCTGAAACTGTGAGTCAAATTAATTATTTGTAAATAACAATAGGTAACCTAAGGAATTATATTCCAAATCAAATATTGACATCAAAAAATATTTCTTTCCTACTTCTTTGACTTATTTAAGTAGCATGAAACTGTAAGGAAAAAAAAACTTGGGATGGATGATTTACCTTTTATCACTTTGCGTTGCTAGGAAAGAATCCATAAACAAGGCAAGTGTTCTACAATTGAGCTACTCCCTCAGCCCATGAATTGAAATTATAACACTAGATTATTTTTTATTGAAATAGACAAAGTGTTAATTGTGTATTTTAGGAATTAACAACTCTTATCTATTAAAACAGATAAATTCTGTAAAACATGTTGATAAACAGTTATAAGCAAATTAAAAAATAATGTGCCTTATGATGCATCTAATATATATGAGGATTTTATTTTTTAATTATGTATATGGTGGGGAGGTCTGTGCATGAGTACAGGTGCTTGAGGAGGCCAGAAGAGGGTGCTGGATTCTTAGAGCTGAAGTTACAGGTGGCTGTGAGCCACCCATCAAGAATACTGGGAACCAAACTTAGGTCCTCTGCAAGACCATTCCTCTCTAGACCAATATATGAAAAGATTTTAGAAGAAATGACTTATACCCTGAAAATTCATTTTTTCCCCAAGTATTTCATCTTAGGACCATATAACCCATCCATGCCATCAGATAGGTAACTGAATTAGAATGATCTTTACAAATCATAGAAACAGATTCCTTCAGCCACTTAACTAAAATTCATTTGCTCTAAACACTTCATTAGAAAAGAAAAGTGGTAATGGCTAGCAAGATGGCTCAGTAGTTAAAAGCACTTGCTGCTGCTCTTGTACAGAACAGGGTTCAGTTCCTAGTACCCACCTGGTAGCTCACAACTGTATGATACTCAAGTTCTAGGGGAACCAACACCCTCTTCTAGCCTCTGTGGACAATATATACATGTGCTATACATGCATACATAAAGGCAAAATAGCCATACACACAAAAAAAATCTTAGCTGGACAGTAATGGTGTAAGCCTTTAATCCTAGGACACTCAGAAGGCAGAGGCAGGCAGATCTCTGTGAGGAAAAAGATAAAAAAAAAAAAAGAAAGGGAATTCAGGTATAGTGTCACATGCCTAAAATCTCAATACTTAGAGAACTGAGGCAGGAAGATCAGGTATTTGATGCCATCCTGGGCTACATAGTCAGACACCATAGGAAAAATATAACCAAAAAGGTGGGGAGGAGGGGAGGACAAGAGAAATATGAAGGCTGCAGACTCAGAGAAATTTAGTCTTTAAGTGATTTGTTCAAATAAAAACTAAGTTTTGGGCTGGAGGTGATGGCTTGAGCCCATACTATTCTTTTTTTTTTTCTTTTCTTTTCTTTTCTTATTTTCTTTGGGTGAGTGGTGCTTCAAGACAGGGTTTCTTTGTAGCTTTGGAGCCTGTCCTGGAATGAGCTCTTGTAGACCAGACTGGCCTCAAACTCACAAAGAATCACTTGCCTCTACCTCCCAAGTGCTGGGATTAAAGGTGTGCATCACCACTGCCTGGCTGAGCACATATTATTCTTGCAGAGGTTCCAGCACCCACACTGACCGTTCACAATTGCCTCTAACTGCAGCTCCAAAATAATCTGATATCTCTGGCCTCCGTGGACACTATGTGCATAACCCACCTTCAAAACACACACATACACAATTTAAAATAAAATAATAAAAATATATCTTTAAGAAAAAAAAGAACACAAAACAAGTTGTGTGTCTTGTTTTGTAATATGGTATCATGTTACCAAGGCTTTCCCTGAACGTGCCATGTCCTTGAAGCTCTGATGCTCCTGCCTTTGAGGTGTGTGCACTGACACCTGGTTTATGCTGTGCTGGGGATCAAACTGAAGTCTTAGGCATACTAGGCAGTCATTCTACAAACTGGACTAGATAACACACATACAGAGTCAAGGCAGGAGTACAGACAGAAGTTTCTGAGGACAGAAACCGCAGCCTTTGTAGACAGAAATTTATGTCCCACCTGATCTGCAGTCGTTCAGTTCCAAAGAATAACACAGAGGCTTATATTAATTATAAACTGCTTGGCCAGTTAGTACAGGGTTATTATTAACTAGCTCTTACAACTTAAATTAACCCATATGATCAGTGAGGCATTCTCATCTTGCTTCCTCTGCATCTGGCTGGTGACTACATCTGTCTGCCTTTTTTCTGTTTGCACATTTCTCCTAGTCTGGTTGCCCCACCTATACTTCCTGCCTGGCTACATTACACACACACACACACACACACACACAAGTAGGTTGACAAGATGGCTTAACAGGTAAGTGCTTGTCACACAAACCTGATATTCTAGCTCAATCTCCAGATCCCATGACAGAGAAAACTAACTCCCAAAAGGTGTCTTCTGACCTCATGTGTCTGCTGTGGCACATACACATTTACATACGCAATAATAATTAAATTTTAAAAACATATTTATTTTAAAAAAAAGAATGAAAGCTTGAGATGTGGTGATACCGGTCTATAATGCCAACTTGTGGGCAACTAAGAAAAGAGTCTGAGTCTATATGGCATCACACCCACCAGGAACACAGCAAAACCATCTCAACAAACCAAAATAATAATGATTATCATTACAGTATTTAGAATTAGTAGAAATGGGGCCTGGACAGATGGCTCAAAGGTTAAGAACACTGGCTGCTCTTCCAGAGGTCCTGAGTTCAATTCCCAGCAACCACATGTTGGCTTGTAACCATCTATAGGAAGATCTGGTGCCCTCTTCTGGTGTGTAGGCATATATGCACACAGAACACTATATATAATAAATAATAAGTCTTTTAGAATTAGTAGAAATGTATAATAGTATAGTAGTATAATATAATAGTACTATAATAGTATAACCATATTATACACCTATCTTATTCAATTATTTTCCAACAATGTGACAGAAAAAATTAAAAGGTAACTGTATCGGTTCATCAAAATAAGTAAAACTACTAAAATTCTCTATATTTCCAGCTATGGATGTCTCTCGGACATGCCAAGTATTATAACTAGTCATTATATTATTTATAATTTTCCATAGTCCCCTCCCTCACTGAGAGGGTTTCTCGGTGGCCAAGGGCTTGGCTTATTCAAATGATTTCTGTGCGCGTGTGCATGCGCACACATGTGCACAGACATGAGGTTTGAGGACAACTTTTGAGGTTGGTTATCTTTTTTTTTCTACCATGTGGGGTTCTGGCCATCAAACTCAAGTTGTCAAGTCTTTGAGGCAAGGCCATCCTACCAATTCTTATTTTATTCAAAATGTACAAACTATTGATGATTACCAATGTTTTCCTAAATGGTAGCTATGAGTAAATATTAACATTTATGTACAAATATTTGAAATTTAAAATAGCTTACTAAATGGGCCCCTGCTTGAAGTAAAACATCTGCAACATCTGTATGTCCATTTTCACAAGCATAGGTTAGAGCTGTGTCTCCCGTTGCTGTGGTAGCATGCACATTAGCACCTAGAAAAATAAAATAAAATCACACATTTACCCTGGAGTTGTGGAATTATATACAGCTAAATTTTACAATACTAAAGAATTCAAAATGTGAAAACATCACAAAAATATAGTTATGTACTCATATTTTCATATAAGTAAGTAAACCAAAGAATGAAACACTCCTTTCCCACGACTACACTGGCTACTTCTGAAAGATACTAGGGTTTCATCTCATTATTTCTGGAAATGGATAAATAAAAAAGGAGAAAAACCAAGCCAAACTTTATCCAATCATTGCTACATGAATTCCTACTAAATTCTGATTAAAGGTAGAATTCTTTTAACAGGAAATTCCAACTAATAAGCAAGAATGGAATAATATAATAGTAGCATATCTCTACTTTGCAAACTCTCATGATCCAAGGGACCTAAACTATGATGATGGCAAATGAATGATAGCATAAAATAAAAAATAGAGGAAAAACCAGACACTGAAAGACTAGATATTCATGAAAGAAATTATAAAAATATCACAAAAAGGTCTTTCCAGTTTTAAAAATTCTACTTGAATACAACTGAGTTTCCCTCTAGAGCTAACCATTAATTCATGAAAAAAAAATTAAAAAAAAAAGAGCTGGGTAGTGGTGGCATATGCCTTTAATTCCAGCACTCTGCAGAAGCAGGCGGATCTCTGTGAGTTTGGTCTAGAGTGAGTTCAAGGGCAGCCAGGGCTGTTACACAGAGAAACCCTGTCTCGAAAAACCAACAACAATGATAAACCAGGTAAAATTATTTTAAACTAAAACAATGTTTAAAAATAATGAAAACTGGGAATTGTAGGGATGGCTAAGAGATTAAGAGCACTGGCCTCTTCCAGAGGTCCTGAGTTCAATTCCCAGAAATCACATGGTGGTCTACAACCATCTGTAATGAAATCTGGGGCCCTATTCTGGTGTGCAAGCATAAATGTAGGCAGAATATTGTATACATAATAAATAAAATAAAAAAATTAAATGGGGAAAGTGGTAAAAAAAAATGGCCATGAACTAAAATTGGATGGGTAACAAGCTGAACATGGTGGGGCACATCTGTGACCCCAACTTGGGAAGTGAAAGCAGAAAGATGAAGAACAACAGCAAGGTCAAGACCAGCCTGTCCTTTACAACAGTCTGTCATAGAAACCAAACCATAGTCTGTCACTCAACCAAAGTCAAAAAAAAAAAAAAGATTGGTTGATGTTGGAGTAATCATTCTAATTGGAGAGCTCTGGGAACTGATATCCTTCAAGTAACAACAGGTGCTAAGTATGAGACAAATGTCTAAGACACAACAAAAAGTAATGCCAGGGGCTCCAGGCTTAATTATTGAATGCTGGCTAGGTTTAGCTTGGTAAGATTATGGAGGAACTGTGCATCAGTTAGTTTCAAGATTTTTTTTTAAAAAAAATGTGTTTAAGCCAAGTATGCTTCCCAGAAGGCTGAGCTAAGAGACAACAGAAATATATACTGAGACCCAAACTCAAATAAATAAATCAAACAATAATGTTTAATAATGTTTCTTTCTTTTCACACAGGATCTCACTTTACACAGGGTCTGCAACTTTCCTGTGTAGACCAGGTTGGCTTTGAGATCAGAGATCTACCTACCTCAGCCTCCTGAGTGCTCAGATTAAAGGCATGCACCACCACATCCAACTATTATGTTTTTATAACACAATGACTAGAAGCAATTAATAGAAACAATATAAAAGTCAAGTAAAATATCTAATATTCAGTAAGTTCTTTGGTCTTGTTTTTGGTTTGTGGTACATGATCTCATAAATCTCAACTATGCTCTTATGTGGCCAAGGATAGTCTTGACCTCCTGATTCCACCTATATAAAATTCTCTTTGTGTTGTTTGAGACAAGGTCTCACTATGTAGCTCTGGTTAGCCTAGAACTTAATCTATAAACCAGGCTGAATCCTCCTGCTGCTACCTCTCCAATGTGGAGATTACAGGCATGTGCCGCCATATCAGACTTTAGCTTTAATACAATGAATCATATCAGGATAAAATGAGAAAGTCAGTAATACTTCTAAAAGATAAAAATTTATCTCTATTTGGATCATTTTTTTCTGGCACATCCTACAGACAACATATATTATCAAGTAATACCTACTGTTTTATATTACTTAACAAAGAATGAAGTGAAAATATTTGAAACAAGTACTTTGCCAACAAAATTATTTCCCACTTTTTTGGGTCCATGTATGTGACTATGGCATGCAATAGTGCACATGTGTATGTACACATATATGTAGAACATATTTGCGAATGTTTGTAAAGGCCAAACAATGGCACTGGGTGTCTTCTTTGATTATTCTCTGTCTATTTATTGAGGCAGAATCTTTCACTGAATCTGAAGGTTGCCATAATCCACCTTGCTCTGCAGATTCCCTGTCTCCACTTCCCCATCCTTGAGGCTACATGGTGGCCTTTGGGCCCACCCAGCTTTTATATAAGTGGTATGGGTGTTACCCTCATGCTTATATGGCAAGTGCTTTATCAGCAGAGCCATCACCACACCAATCCTTTTATTTTATTTTTAAGGCAACTCAGAAATGTCAAAAAATGAACAGGTTTAAAATTTCATGCCATAGCCATGACTAGGCCAACACAACTAAGCAGGAAGAATTAACTTTCCTTCCAAAAGAAAAGAATGGAGAGTTTATAAGAGCCCTTACAATTACTAAGGAAATACTAGCGACAGTAAGAAGTTTATTAAAGACAAGGTCTTAGAATATTATTGCTCAGGCTGGCCTCACACTGCTGGGCTCAGGTGATATTCTATCTTTAGCCTCCCTAATATCTGAGACTATAGATGCACAATAAGCTAACAAACCCGGAGCTTAATGCATACTAAGCAGCCCTCTACATCCTTAACTCTAATTTTATTGCTAACAGACAGTCAATATTTGCATACATTTATGGGGAACAATGTTAAGAACAGACTAAAATAACCAAATCATGTTAATTATTATCTATTACCTGACATACATTATTTCTTGGTGATAAAAACACCCAGTCTGTTTGTATTAGAAGTTTAGAATTAGGAGATGAAGAGATGGCTTAACAAGTGAAGCACTTAGGCACAAGCCTAACAACCTGAGTTCAATTACTAAAATCCTCACTGGAAAAACACAATCAAGGCTGTCCTCTCACTTCCACATGTGTCCTGTGTCACACACATGACTGCATTTACATTCTCATATTCTCTCAATATATATAAAAATTTTTAAAAATAAGACACTTCATTACTCTTAAACACCATTACCATTCTGTGAAGGAGGTAAGTCACTGAGCCTTGGCACTCTTTGACAACACTCCCTTTTTTGTTGTAGGTTCTTAATTCTCTTACATTATCCATAGACTCTGGTAGTCACCTCTGCACTCTGTATTTCTTAGTTCAATTGTTTTTAGATTTGACACATATAAATAGATTATTGTTTGTATTTTTCTTTCTATGACAAAGGTATTTTTAAAGCCACATACCAGCAGCCAGCAAATATTTAACCAACTCCAGGTGTCCCTCTTGAGAAGCCTCCATGAGAGGTGTGGAGCAGCCAAGTTCTATGTCAGCCCCTGCCTTAATCAGAAAATCTGCAACTTCAGAAAAGCCTCCACAGCAAGCCAAGGTAAGAGCAGTTTCTTGGGTTTCTTCTGTCTGGGCATTTATATTTGCACCTGAAAGCACAACAAAAGAATTACCTAAAAGAGAATTATAATACAGTGTTCAAATAAGATGATAATCACCTACCACCTCTGCTTAGGCAGAGTGGTACTGAGTACTGAGAATTTTATAAGATTCAAAGTTCAAGGCCTACCTAGGCTACAGAAAATTTATTTTCTCATCAGTGCAAAAACAGTATCGATTTCAACCGATACACAAAACACACAAGGACATTAATTTTTAAAATGTACAATGGCTTTACCTTGTGCTAACAGCAGTGCCACCATCTCTTCATGCCCTTCCCGAGCAGCTTCCATCAAGGGCGTATATCCTTCATCATTAACTTCTTCAAGATTTGCTCCTCTTTCAATAAGCAGTGCTGCCAATTCAACATGTCCACCACAAGCAGCTAGAGTCAACGGAGACTCAAAGGAATCCGCAGGCATATTCACTTGAGCGCCACTGTCCAAAAGCAAACGTGCCACTTCTACATGTCCATCCTGAAGATGTTCAGAGATGAAACAAAGAACTTCGTATTTTTATTTTGCTTTATTAAAGTGGAAGGCAAATAAGGGTCTAAAGAAAGATTAGCTGATATAGGCTAGATTACACACATTATTACCATGCCTCCTGAACCTCACCTAACATCCATTAATATTACTTTTTAAATGTTTAAGGGGTTGGAGAGATGGTTCAGTGGTTAAGAGCACTGACTGTTCTTTCAAAGGATCTGGGTTCAATTCCTAATAACCACATGGCAGCTCAAAAATGTCTGTAATTCCAGGATCCAATACACTCACACAGACATACATGCAGGCAAAACACCAATTAACATAAAATAAAATCTTAAAATAATTTCATAAATAATTTACTAAATTAAATGTTTACCTTCAATTTCACAAAGTGCAAAATTTTCTAGAACAAATCCGACCAGATAACAGTCACTTCCAAATAACTTTGAATTTTTATAGTCTTTGAAGTTCAGAAAAACTACTGAATTCAAGAATTACTACTGTTCATAAAACTATCAGCTCAAATATAACCATATTCTCAAATATAGAGGGCTTCTATTTTCAAATGTAGAAACTGTATTAGATCTTCCTTAGAAAGGAAAGCTTGATCAAAAAAACAAACAACCCCCCCCCAAAAAACCAACATAATGAACTGTGAAATCATTACCAATTGGGATTTTGTCACTTAGTTAAATCCCTATGGATTAATATTGCTCTATCTTTGTCTCATAGCAACCTGTTGTACCAAGGCAAAGAATATTTTAAAAACAAAGCTTTTATTCGCATATAAATTATCAGTGTCTTACATAATGTAAACCCATATTTTAACCACTGAGCTTCTCTCTAGACCTCATTTTTTTTGGCTTTGTTTTAAAGATTTATTTTTATTTATGTGTGCATTTGTATGCCAGTGAGTTTATGGGCACCATGTGCCAGGAGGCCAGAGGGCACTGAATCCTCTAAAGTTAGAATTACAGCAAGTTACAAGTCCCCACATGGGTGCTGGGATCTGAGCTTAGGTCCTCTGCGTGAGCACTAAGCACTCTGTGGTTTTTTAGATGAGAGCAGCCCACACAGATTCATGTTTGAATGTCTATCCTTAGTGGGTGGAATGTTTGCACAGGATTAAGAATTGTGGCCTTGTTGGAGGAGGTGTGTCACTGGGGGTGGGCCCTGAGATTTCAAAAGCCCACACCAGACCAAGAGTGTTTGCTGTCTCTCTCTCCCTGCCTGCTGCCTATGGATCAGGATGTAGCTCTTAGTCACTACACTAGTACCATACATGCTAGCATATTCCTGCCATGATGATAACAGACAACCTTCTGAAACTATAAGCGAGCCCCCAATTAAATGCTTTTTTCCTAAAAGTTACCTTGGTCATGGTAACTTTACCATGTACAGTAACAGAACAGAGACTTTGACACTTAACCTCTGAGTCATCTCTCCAGATTCTCAGTCCTCAGTTTTAAATTCTCGACTTCAAACATTATATTGGCTTTAATACTTGTTACAAGCATATGAAGTCAAATGTTATATCATTCTACATTTCAAAAATGATCACAATATCACTAATAAGAATTAAATTTGGATGACTGAAGAGATTGTTCCTGGACTAAGAGCGCTGGATGCTCTTTCCAGTGGATTTGGGTTCAATTTTCAGCATCCACGTGGGACCTGACAACTGGCTGGCTATACATCCAGTTCCAGAGAATCCAGCACCCTCTTCTGGCTTCCTCTGGCAAGTCTCTCTCTCTCTCTCTCTCTCTCTCTTGCGCGCGCGCACACACACACACACACACACCATGGTACTAAAACCTTGAATTCAAAACCATGGATTGGCATAATAGAAGGGATGAATACTGAAATTCAACATTTCAGATTTAATTATTTTTAGAGTATATGGAATTTCCTTAGTTTATTTTTTATTATATTTTAATTTATTTTATACTGGGGGAAGAGAGTGAGAAGGGGTTGTTGGGAAAGAAAGAACAAGAATGTGTGTGCAGGTCAGAGCACAACTTGTAGGGGCTGGTTCTCTGTTTTCATCATGTGGGTCAAACTCAAATTTGTGGCAAGCACCATTATCTGCTGAGCTATTTCATGGACCCTTGGCCAAATTTTAATTACTTTTGACACAAATGCCAAAACTAGGGGACTTTATATTAAAATTTCAATTTAAAGAACTGAAAAAGAAAATAATCCTAGCATTTAGGAGACGAGGAAAGTGAGTTTGAGGCTAGCCTGGTCTACATATCAAGATCTAGGCCAGTCAGGGAACACAGAGAAACCCTGTTTCAAAAACAAAAAACAACAACAAACAAAGTCAAACAAAAAACTACCAAAACTAATGACAAAAACAAAACACAAAAAACAAACAAGAAAATAAACAAAAACCCCAAAAATATTAAAGCATCAAAATCTCACAAATCAGAGCTAGAGAGATAGATAAATGGATCAGAGGTTTAGAGAATTTGCTACTCTACAGAGGTTCAAATCCCAGCATCCACATGGTGGCTCACAATCACACACAACTGCAATTCCAGAGATCTGATAAACAAATGAGCCAATGAACTGAGTATCTGGTTCTCAATAGAACCTTCCATCGTGAGCTTTGGGGACCCAATTTAAGTCATTCAGCTTGTTTATCAAGTTTTTCCTAGTTGAACCAACTCACTGGCCCTCTTTATAGGATTTTAATATGAATAAAAATGTAGAGAATGGGGGATGATAGCTTACAACCTGTAATCCCAGTACTCATGAAATGGAGACAGGGAGGATCATAGTAAGGTGAAAGCAACTAGCTTCTGCTTCAGACCAGTGTGGGCTAATTAATATGAAACCAATAAGAAAACAAAACAAAACAAAACAAAAAACAACAACAGATAAGCATATCGGAAATCTCAAAGTCTAACATCTCAAAAATTAAGAGTTTTATTAATATATTTGGGCTGCAGTTCAGCAGTTAAGAGCACTAGCTGCTCTTCCAAAGGGCCCAGGTTTAATTCTCAAGACTCATACTCTAGTTCCAGGGGATCTGACAACTTTTTCTGAACTCCATGGGCACTATACACACATGGTGCAAAGACACACATGCAGGAAATACACTGTACATACTATTTTAAAAAAAAAAAAGAGCCACGTGGTGCCTTTAACCCAGTGCTTTGGGAGAGGTAGGCATATCTCTGTGAGTTCAAGGCCAACCTGGTCTACAAAATGAGCTCCAGGACAGCAAGGGCTACACAGAGAAACCCTGTCTTGAGAAAAACAAAACAAAACCCTAAAACATTACATTAAGATTACTAGTTATGCTGGGCGCATTCCTTTAATTCCAGCACTCGGGAGGCAGAGACAGGCGGATCTCTAAATTTGAGGCCTGCCTGGCCTACATAGAGATCCAGGACAGGTACCAAAGCTATAGAGAAACACTGTCTCAAAAACTAAAACAAAACAAAATAAAAAAAAAAGAAAAGAAAAACCAAGCGAGGGAAAAAGATTACTCGTTGCTATTACCCTTTAAAAGTCCATACATTAAAGCATTACTAGTTTTTTTTTAACTTAAAATTCAATGAAAACTACAAGTCAATGTTTAACTAACAATTTTTAGTGAGAATGGACTCACATGAAGTGGTTGCCATGTAAGAATAAGAATATAAGTTTGGTCACCACAACCCATAGTAAACCAACAACAAACTAAAAACAAAAACACAAATAAAACTAGGTGTGTTGGTACACAATAGTGAGGTGGAGATATTCAGATCACAGAAGCTCAAAGCAAACCTGCCTATTCTACTTAGGAGGTTTCAGGTCAGTAAGAGAGACCCTGCCTCTACAATTAAGACTGATGTTTGTTTGTCCTGTGGGTTTCTAAAGGCTTATACACCTGCGTGCATGCACATACGCGCACGCGCACACACACACACATCAGAAACAAGAGTAACAATAATAATTCTCACACAAACATATGGATTTTTCCCACAAAATTCAAGTGATCACAATTAAATTACCATGCAAGCCTCCATTAAGGCAGTATGCATCTCATCAGTTTTATGCTCTTGATCTGCACCAGCTTCAAGCAGAAATCGAACCATATCCAAATGGCCTTAAAAATAAGATTAAAGAATTGACTATCAATTGAATGCATAAGTATTAAATTGAAGAGTTTTATTTTCACATGTCTATATATAATCTATGAAGCTTTCATTTGAATTTAATAAATCAATGACAGTTTTATAAAGCCAACTGAAACCAATTAAGTAAGCAGACTCTCAATAAGGTCATACTATCTCAGTTTTAAAGACTGACTTTCTTTTCTTTCTTTCTTTTTTTTTTTTTTGTTTTTCAAGATAGGGTTTCTCTGTGTAACAGTCTTGACTGCCCTGCCCTGGAACTTACTTTGAAGACCAGGCTGGCCTCAAAATC